AACTGAGATTTCGTGGGCTTGGAAATAATGCTTTAGTTTTCTTGATGCCATCAACCTCTGCGTGAAACAACTTTTTCTACCTCGTGTGTAGTTTAGCTTGGCTCGGGCGATTATTCGAGATAAAATAAACTGGTTTTTGAGTTTTGCCTGATTCTTTTTCTAGCTCGTGAACTAAGATCTACTGATCAGCATGGTGAGGAGGCCGCCACATATAGCAATAGGTGGCTGTCCGATTTTGGGACGGAGACCACCAGTGAGTTTGCCAGATACTCTTTCAAGTTATGAAATGCCTCTGACTGCTTGGACCCCCACTCAAAGTTGTTTCCGCCCCTTAGGGCTTGGAAGAAGGGGAGGCTGCGTTCTGCTGATTTTGAGATGAATCTGTTGAGCGCTGCTATTCTTCCCGTCAGCTTTTGCACTTCTTTCTTGTTTTTGGGTTCTGCCATTGTCATTATTGCTCTGGTTTTGTCTGGGTTCGCTTTGATGCCTTCGCTGCTTATGATGTATCCGAGCATCTTCCCTTTTGTAACTCCAAATATACATTTTTCTGGGTTGAGGCGGAGGCCAGCTGTCCTGAGGTTGGCGAAGGTCTCCTGTAAGTTGGAGACATGATCATCCTTGTTCTTGCTCATGACCACTATGTCGTCGACGTAGGCTATGATGTTTCTATCTAGTTGTGAGCCCAAAACTTCCTTTGTCATTCTGGCAAAGGTTGCTCCGGCATTTTTGAGGCCCTCCAAAGATTCTCGCAATAGCAATATGTCCCGAATGGAGTGGTGAAACTTGTCTTGTCTTCATCTTGTTTTTTCATCCAGTTTGGTGATACCCAGAGAAACAATCGAGGAGAGAAACCTCGGCATCTGGGCTGCCTTGTCGACGGAGGCATCTATTCTTAGCAATGGGAAAGGTTCTTTTTGCAAGCTTTATTCAGATCTGTGAAATCTATGCACATTCTCATTTTGCCATTCTTCTTTGGTACCAAGATTATGTTTGCAAGCCATTCAATACTTGACTTCCACGATGACTTTTGAATCTAGCAACCTTTTGCACCTCCGCCTTTGCTACCTCATGTTTTCATTGATATCCGATTCAGTCTGATGTCCCTCCTCGACATTTTCTCTTTGTTTTTTTACTAGGGCTTTTCTTGGCCTCATATTTTCATTGATATCCGTAGATCATCAGAGCGTTTTGTTTTTATTTGGTAATAATTGTCCCGTTGACTAACTCAAAACGTTCGTCTCTAAAAAGTACAACCAAATCTGTGGAGGATTTCATCAACATTTAGTACTCTATGCATGTAAGAATGTCTTTGTTTTTTACTAGAGTTTCCATGAGCCCTTCCTCCTCTGCTTTGCTCAACTCTGAGCTGATTGTTACTTTTCTGTCTGGTAACTCCTTTTCTAGAGGGGTCACCTTTGTCTCTTCTTAACCTGCCATATCTGTTTTTCCTCTGGGCATATCCGGAGGCTCTAGTTCTTTGTCTGCCGACTCGACTGCATTGATGTTTCTTTGGGCTCTGTAGATTGCTTTTTCTATGTTTCTTGCTTCTTTCTGGCTGCCTCGGACTGTGATAATACCATGGAGTGCTGGTATTTTCATGCACAGGTAGGCCATATGCAGGGTTGCGTTGAATTTAGTCGTGAATCCTCTGCCCAAGATGGCATTGTATGGGTAATACAAATCGATGACGTCGAAGGTTATGTACTCAGTTCTGGCATTTGCTTGGTTTCCAAACGACACTAGGAGTGAGATTTTTCCTAATGCTTGTATGTGCTTGCCTCCGAATCCTATCAAAGGGGATTCGGAGGGCTGTAGTTGATTTCTGCTGAGCTTCATTTGGTCGATGGTATTTGCGAAGATGATATCTGCTGAACTGCTAGTGTCAATCAGTACTCTGCTTATCTCCCATGCTGCTATGTTGGTCTTGATTACCATTGCATCTGCGTGAGTGTAGCTTTCTAGCTGGAGATCTTCTTCTGTGAAGGTGATTGGGACTCTAGACCAATCTGTGTATTTTGCTGGGCCTTGGACTGCTACGTTGTTTACCAGGCGGAGGTGATCCTTTTTCTGCTTTTTCATTTGAAACTCCATTGATGATCCTCCGGCGATTGGTAGTATAATGCCTTTTGTTGGTAGCGGTCCATGGGGGTTGACTTGGTTTTCTGGGTTTGACTCATTTTTTGGTGTTGGTGGTTGGTTGTGAGGTGGCGATGGAGGCAGTTGCTGCATGTGGTGTTGTTGTGTCGGAGGCTCGAACCTGATTTGGTTTTGTGCCGGTGGGTTTGTTTCGAGGTAGGTTATGTGGGGAGGTTTTGGGTTTATGTAGGTCAGGCTTGCCTCCGACCTGTAATTACCCGCCGGAGGCTGCTGCGAAGGCACTGACCGCCATGCTGGTAGGAAGTTTGGGTAATAGGCAGAGGCCAGTGTGGAGGGATGTATTTGGGTTGTGTTTAGCGCTGGGTACATTGGGCAGTACTACTGGTGGCCAGTTGTGTAGGTGGTGTTGACCTCTCTTACGCTCTGCTGTGTCGGAGGTTGGGCAGTCTGCTTGTTCTTCATCCTTTCCTGTGTCTCTTTTGTCTCCGGACAATCTTTGGTGCTGTGCCCTGCGTTTTCGCCGTGAAAAACGCAATATGGCCTGCGTTGTTTCTGGCTGTGGTTTTTGTTCTAGTTTTTTCCTTGGTAACCTTGCCGACCTTGGTTCCTGGTCTGGGTCTCCGGCCGTGCTGGCGCTGCCAGTTGCCCTTGCTCGGGGTGAGGTTGACCCTCGATGCTAAGCACTTGCCCCTGACCTGGTTTCTGATTTGATGTATTCTGGTTCGTATAGGTTTTCTAGGAGTTTTTGCTGCTGTTTTGCTGTCTATTTTGACCCTGCTCCTCCAGCCTTTTCCGGAGGTCATTGTCTGATCTGCAGTATTTCTCGAACTCGTCATACAACTGTTGTATGGAAGTTGGTTTCTTTCTTGCTAGGTGTGCTGCGAATGGCCCGATTCGGAGGCCTTTGATCGCTGCTTCAATGGCGATCTCATCTGGGATGTCTGGTGCCTTCGCCTTTAGTTGCACGAATTTCTGGAAGTAGTCGTGTAGTGTCTCTCCCTGCATTTGCTTGCACTGGAACAGATCTGTGGAAGTCAGCGACTGTGCTGTTAGCCCCTTGAAGTTTGCCAATATCTTGTCCCGGAGGTTCTCCCAAGAATAGACTGTGCTTGGTTTGAGCATAGAATACCAAGCCAACGCGTCGCCTTCGGCTGCAATGACAAATGACTTTGCCAAGACGGCGTCGTCTCTCACCGGTGGAGGCTACTGCTGCCTCGTAACTCATAATGAACTGATGGGGGTCTGTCTTTCCGTTGAACTTTGGTAGTGTGATTGGCTTGTACGCCGTTGGCCATGGCGACTATTGTATGCCTTCAGAGAGTGGGGACTTGGGATCGATAGGCCTCCGCATCACCTGAGATGGCATCGTGGGCTAGCTGATCACTAGCGGAGGCCCTTGTGGTATGGTTGCAGTTGGTGTTGCTGCAGAGGCTGGGATTGCGGAGGTTGACGCTGGTACTGCATGCTGCATACTTAGCATCTCAGCATGTAGGACTGCCTTATTTCTGCTGCTTATGCTGACGCTTGAATAGCTTGCTGATTAGCTATGAATGATGCTGCCATTCTGTCCCTCTCTTGTTGCGCTCTTTGCAACTATGCTTGCAGCTGTTGCAGTTCTTGCTCGAGTGTTGTGGCTGAGTTTGGTTAGGCCTCTGGATCTTGAATCTCTGGATCTTGGGGTTCCGGTGGTTGACCCTGGGCATTAGGTGCTACGAGTGGTGCGCCTAGGCCTTCCTCGCTAACCCGTGGTCGTTGCTGCTCTGGTGGTGGTTTTTCTTTTCCCTGCCATCGTTGGTTTGCCTTGGCCAAACCACGGTGGGCGCCAATGTTGAGACTTACGGTGTCAGACAATGTGGAGGAGGTGGAGGCCTCCGCCCGCCAAGTGTTGCCCTCAGGCTGAGGCTTGGGAAACAGACACGACAAGTGGGCGTGTAGGGAAATGACACGTAAAACTAGGGTTTCATTAATTCATTCACCAATCTCCCATACTGTTATAAGGGTTCCCTATTTATAGGGCTCAACTACCACTTTTACAGAGTTTACAATAGTACCCTTCACCTGCTACAGTACATTCTCGGAATATCCCACTTCTCGCCTTTCTTCTCGGGGGTAATCTTGTCTTGCCGCCCTCAGGTACTAGGCCTGACTGATCAGCCGGCCCATCAGGCCTCAGGATTCGGCGATGGGCCTTTAGGCCTCCGCCATCGGTCTCCGCCCCTGGGACGCCGAGGCCGCAGACCCCCGACGCCCAGTATTGTCGTCCTCCTGCTTGGGTCTCTGCCCCTACGAGCGGAGGCCGAACCGGCGCGCCCACGCCGTCCACGAGCGCCTTCCTCTGGTTAACTGCACACACACGTAGGTAACGTTGGCACTTGATTAGCCTTGCAGCGGGGCAGCCTCCGCCCCCTCCGCCTGGAGACGCCTACGAGCTAACCGGGCGGAGGCTGCGCTAGGGTCACCGGCGGCGTCCAACAAGCAGTCTGAGAAACCGTCATCTTTCTAGGTCTGGAGGCGTGATAGCCGGACCTTTGCTTAGATAGTTGGTCGGAGACGTCTCTGCGAACTGCTGGCCGCGTAGGTCTCCGCCACTCTCGGAGGCCGTGTTACAACAAGTAGCAAAACCAACGGTAGACCTAAAAACGGCAAAGTTATTAGGGAATCACATGGAGGAACGGACTTAGCAGCCACCACCACACGTACACTCTGCTCTGCCTATAAAAGGCAGCACCGATCTCGGATGGTTGGTAAGCTACCATGAACACACAGGACTTGTGCATGTAGCTAGACTAGATTGTAGTAGAGAGATCGAAGAATAAGCAACAAGCAGATAGCAGAGTGGTACAGATCGAGCAACCTACTCGTAGCGCTATAGTAATTAAGGAAGAAGAGTCCAATTAACCTCGATGGTTCTCACTGCCGCCGAGAGGGGTAGAGATGGCGACCGGCCGCCGGAGGTCGTCGTCGTCGACATCAAGAGCGGCAGCCTGGATGGAGCGTCGTCGTCGTCCATCGTGGATCGGCAGGACTCGCTGTTCCGGGAGGCGGTGACGGGTCATCACCACCGTGCTGCTGGCGGCGCAGGACACGCTGATCATGTACGTACTCTGCTTGACGTCCAAGTAACTCTCGAATATGCATGCAATGCAAATGCAACGGTGGTAGAGTTAGACACGTCGTGTTCAGTCAGTCCATGTTTTGCCCATCTGACTGACTATTGACCATGGATCGACCGTACGTATATGCATACGCGTGCATGCAGGATAGCTGGGGGACGACGCTGCGGCTGGCGTTCCAGTGCGTGGGGATCCTGTACGGCGACGTCGGCACGTCGCCGCTATATGTCTACTCCACCACCTTCGGCCACGGCGGCGGCGTTGGCCACCCTGACGACGTCCTGGGGGTGCTCTCCCTCATCATCTACAGCTTCATGCTCTTCACCGTCATCAAGATCGTCGTGGTTGCGCTCCACGCCAACGATGACGGGGATGGTTAGTGCCTGCATGCCATGCCATACAATTTAATTTGATAAAAAATATTATATATGATAGTAAATAATGTAATTAACTAACGATTGATATCAGGTGGAACGTTTGCACTCTACTCTTTGATTTCGAGATATGCCAACGTGAGTCTGCTCCCTAACCATCAGGCCGAAGATGAGCTGGTCTCCAGCTACAACAGTCATGAAAAGCCGTCGTCGGCCACACTGAGAGCTCACTGGCTGAAGCATTTGCTTGAGACAAGCAAGTCGGCCAAGATTTCCCTGTTCCTCCTTACCATCCTTGCAATTGCGATGGTCATCAGCGACGCTGTTCTAACTCCTCCTATTTCGGGTACTGTATAAAGAAACTCATCTATACTTTACAGATAATATCACCTCAACATCTGTAGAGGTTTTAACAATGTCATCTGATTCTTGCTGCTTGTCCTCACAAAATACTCAGTGCTCTCAGCTGTAAGTGGCCTGAAGGAAAAGGTGCCTGATTTGACCACAGGTAATTAATTAACAACAAAATATGCATTAGGATCTATAGAGAATATTTTTTTTTCAAAGACAGGTGTACAAATCATGCTATCTTTCCTGATATATATGATCCCTGAAAATCTTAGTTAGAACTTAGAAGACATTAACTTTAGCAAATAGTTAGATGGTTTCCTCCATACACTACTAGAGAACAGACTTTAGAACGATGTCCCAATTTAGCATTAGCCTCGGCATTTTTTTGCCGCCGGGACTAAAGGACCCTTTAGTCCCGGTTCGTAATACCAACCGGGACTAAAGGTCCCTGCCCAATGGTCGTCCGAGTGGTAGGGATCTAAACCTTTAGTTCCGGTTGGTAATACCAGCCGGGACTAAAGGTTCTAGTCCCGGTTTGGGTGATATCCCGGGAATAAATATTAATCTTTAGTCCCGGTTTGGCCATCTAACCGGGACTAATTATGCGGGCCTATACAACGGCTCATTTCTTCCTCCCCGAGCCCGAGCCATTCTATTCAAACTCACTGCCTCTGTTCTTCAGCTTGCTATTGTTCTTGCTCTCTCCCCCTTCATTGTGTTGCTCTTCGATTTTGGAGGTAACAAACTTAATCCTCTTAAGTTTTATCAGTAGCTTATCTCATTTTGCGATGTAGATGCATGTGTAACTTTATATGTTGGACTTTATTATGATTTTATATGTCATTTTTAGCTCAAAATCACATGATGATTTGCATATATGTTTGGATAAACAAAAGTTAAATTAGTTCATCAAAATCACGCCTCGCTCGTCCTCGCTGGAGCACGCGCCATCCTCGTCTCCGGCGGCTTACGTGATCTTAGAATTAATTTTTCCATGAAATGAAAAACTTAGAAAATAGTTAGAAAATTATAGAAAATCCGTACTAGTTGAACTTGCGGACCGTGATCATCTCGGCGAGCATTTTCTCTGTCGAGCGGTAACGGACGTCAAGGAGGAGCTTTGATTCTATAAGGGAGAGCGGCAACGGTCGTGGAAGACCGTGTTCCTTCCTCGTAGAATCGGAGCTCTTCCTTGGCCAAAATACGGTGCCATTCCGGTGGAAGAAATGCTCACCGAGATGATCACGTAAGCAAGGTCAACTAGTACGGATGGTCATTTATTGAAACATGTTTTTTGAGCTATGTGATTTCTATGTCATGTTTAGCTCAAAATCACATAATGATTTGCATATATGTTTGGATAAACAAAAGTTAAATTAGTTCATCAAAATCACGCCTGCTCGTCCTCGATCCTCGTCCCCCAGAGACGTGATCTTAGAATTAATTTTTCCATGAAATGAAAAACTTAGAAAATAGTTAGAAAATTGTAGAAAATCATGTTGAACTTACGGACCGTGATTATCTCGGCGAGCATTTTCTGATATATTTGATTCTCTGAGAGAGAGCGGCAGCGGTCGTGGAAGACCATGTTGCCTTCTCTCGTAGAATCTTAGTTATGCTCACGAGATGATCACGTAAGCAAGGTCAACTAAGATGGATGGTTATTTATTGAAACATGTTTTTGAGCTATGTGATTTCTATGTTATTTTTAGCTCAAAATCACATGATGATTTACAATAGTAAAATCACTTGATAGTTTGGTATTTTACTATTATACATAGTACATATTTCATGGTTTAGTTAGATAAATAAATAATTTTAGTTTTGTTTAAATATATTATTTTAGAAAATGTGAAATTTACAATGAGTTTGCAAAAATAAGTATAGAAAGTATATGACAACTGGTACGGATCCTCGGCCTCTCGTTCGGTTAGGGATGAGGCCGAACTCCCTCATTATCTCTGCGACAAGTTAAGCGTAAGATTGTGATGGAGTACCGAGTCAAGAGACAGGGACCCAACAAGGGTCGTGTTTTCTACAAGTGCCCAGATCGTGATGTGAGTTTCTTATGCATTTGATTATTATGGCTAATTGACCTGTTTTTCTTGAATATTTTTGACTAAATATTTTTGGCTTTAATTTCAAAGGGAGGGTAATGGATGCGATGGTTGGTACCGGGGAGGAAGATTATGCTATATACGTGCAGAATTCTGCTGCTCATTGGCGATGAGGCGTGAGCCAAACTTATTGATATTCAATGTAAGAATGATTTGTCTGCTTTTTAGTTATGTAAGATCACGAAATAATTATGTTATTGAAGTGCATTGTAGTTTTAGTTTGTTTAGTGATAGTTGGGATTGCTTACGCTTGTAGCCAGTGCTTAGTTAATTAATCAACCGTGTGTGTGTCATCTATGTTGTGTAATAAAATACTTAATTATGTTCAAGGTTTTCATAATTTGTCGTGTAATACAGATTATGTCACGCCATTGGATGTACAATGCCGATCGCCGCTCCCAAGACTTTGTTGAGGGCTTGCACTATTTCTTAGGTGTGGCCGAGGCAAATAAGCAGGATGGTTTTATGTGCTGTCCATGTGCCCTATGTAAGAATTTAAAGGAATATTCAAGCTCAATGAGTCTTCATTCACATTTGCTTAAGTCAGGTTTTATGTAAAACTATATATGTTGGACTAAGCATGGAGAAAGCGGGGTCATGATGGTAGAAGGTGAAGGAGAAAATTTAGACATTGATGACATTATTGCTCAGTATGGTGCCTTTGATGATACTACAATGGGGGGAGATGAAGAAGAGGTAGCGGTAGAAGATGATCTCGGTGATGCTCTTGGCGATGCCATTCGTGATGCACAACAAGAATGGGAAAGTGAAAAAGAGAAAGTTAAGTTCGAGCACATGCTTGAGGATCATAGGAAGTTGCTATACCCGACGGCCGAAGAGGGGCAAAAAAAACTGGGTACAACACTGGAATTGCTCCATAGGATGTGATTGTCCATGAGTTTCACTTTGATGGTTTGCTCCATAGGGTGTGATTGGCTATGAGTTTCCTGGCCATGGAGGCTTGTCCTAGGATCCCGGTAGTGATGGTGATGTTCTTTCGAACAACTATCATATGGCTCTCTCTTTGTTGCACTATAGTAGTTACAATATTAGTGATGAAGGGCTTGTGAGCTCTGTGACTACATCGACCGATGGTGGCAAGCATGAGCGGATTGCTCCAGATCATTGAAATACTATATGTTCACATGCCATCATCTGCACACCCTAGTCATCATGCATCGATCTTCACTAAGGGCTCGTTCGGCAGTGGCCAAACCAGCTTTCGATCCTGGCCAGAATACTCCTGTTTTTGAAACAACTGCTCTGTCCCCCCCGGAATGGGCCTCGGAACGGCCCATTCCGGGCTAACCGAATGATGCCTAAGTCATCTAATACAATGCAAAACCAACAGACCACATCCAACATCCCTCTAGACCATGAGTCCTCAAGGCTAACCTCACCACTGGCCATGCGCAACTGCCCATGTTGTGTGCTTGACCGTTCCTGGCCACCTCTTCCAAAGTTTCATGCTAATACTAGTAACCCTTGCTACACAGGTCACTACAAATACCCTCACCACTATCACAACACTCCACAAAACTAGCACATTAGAAAAGTAGCATGTTGGCGACTACCACGCTATGGTTTTTGGATTTGGTCCAAAGAACAAAATTTGATGAATTTCACACATCTCAGTGAGGCCCAAAACAACATCGTACTACACTACAAAGGCATGTAGGATGCTAACGCTAATGTTAACCATATGCAACTACCTCTGTCTAGGTCTTGAGTCACAGTAGCCTGCCACTGCCATCCAGTCGCCAATGGTTGCCTACATCAGGTTTGCATGCTGAACTCAACAAACAATGAGCTCATGGTCAACTAGACATGAATCTATGGGTAGGAAACCAGGAGCGAGGGAAGGAGAGTGTAAGCTAGTAAGGTGGGGGGGGGGGTAGAGTCAGATCAGTTGGCTTGACTACACTGCTATGCATTTTACCAGTGGAGTGACCATTGTGTTACCCGAAGGACAACGCTACGGCACCACACAACCATAGTATAACCTCTTAACAAATAGCTTTGAGCATATAAATTTTTAAAGAAAATGAATTCCTTTGTGTCAATTCATAGATGTGTATAATCTTCTTGTTTTTATCTTCAATTCTATACTGGACTTTGAACCGAAGATACTTGCAAAAGCAAGAGAAAAATACATGAGTGACCAAGGGATTAAGTCTTACCACAATTTACTTGTGGAACATAGATCTTGGGTTGTTAATTTTTACGAAAGGAAGTAATAATTAGGAGCCTTGTCATTGTGTTCCCAATGATTATTATCTCTTTGTGATAGAGTCAAACTCTGCTCTATGGCATGTTAGCCCGAATGGGAAATTTTGTCTCTAAAAACTTACTTAGGTCTAGGGTTTCACTTGATCTACACTACCGAAACCATAAACAAACTAGCATGATATGCAACTTAGGTTTCTCTAGTGTGCTGTACCTTAACCAAACCACAAAGTGTTTTGCACCATAGAGCTAATCCTATCAACTAGCCTATACTAATCCATGAATGGTAAAAGTCACACAAGTCAAACACACAAAGCAAAAACATAAACATGTCAGGTAAAGACAAAGTCAAGAGAGACAAAACTCCCAAAGACGAATATATATCCTATGGTATCAATTGCCCAAAATGCAATCCATATAGTCCTTGGAGCTCCACAAACAATACGCTCTCGATCACCAAGCCAAAACGACCACAACCAACCAAGACAAGTGTAAAGCCACTAAAACTCACTACTTGTCATCCTATTCTCCTGATCACCAAGTTATCGTCCACTATGACTATGAAGCATCTCCACCATGGAAGAGGTATCCCCATTCCCTCACACACCAAGTTATCACATAGCCCATCCACACCGATCTTATAGAGTCAAAGTCACAAGAGGG